AATGATAAATGTCATTAAAACATAAAACTACATAGTGTGAAAGAGTGTCTGTGGGTGGAGAGATGGGCTGAAAAACTATAGTCAGGGAAAGCCTCTCTGAAGAGGAGGAATTTAAGCTGAGATCTGAGTGACAAGAAGGAGCCAACTTTGCAAAGCCTTGAGGGAGAACGCACCAGAGAAAGGAAGCAGCAAATGCAGAATCCCTCAGGTAAGAGCAAGCTTGGCAGGTTCGGGTACAAACAAGGCCAGTGAGGACTGAGGGCTGTTGGCGAGGGGAGCGATGCACTTTTATTTAAGCAGGCTGCGTATTTTTAGATTTTAGAGTTTGAGCTCAGAAAGATAATAAGTGCTTTTAGATATTGGAAACCATTTCTGATGATGGATATAATAGCTTTTGCCTGTTCTCCCAACTGTCAGAGAACAAATGTGTTTTCTCAGAAGTAAGGTCTATGCTCGCTTGGGTTTGCTGGCTCTTGCCATAGCTTGTGAATGCTGGATTCCAGGTCCCTGCAAAGTCCCCGCCTTCCTGTGTGGTCAACTCTGGAAGTCCATGGTCACATATGCTCACAAATAAGCCCCCACCACCATGTGGCCCTGTGATCCTCTTCCTCCTACAGGCGTGGTTGTTTCTATGGGAACGGCCCCCTTTGCTGGCCCCACCGCGTCCCCACATTTGGGGTCACCTCTGCGGGGTGTGGCCCCTTCATTGCCTTGGGATGGCACTGGCACCTCCAAAAGGCACCAGTGAGCTGTATCTCCACGACACCCCCAAGATGCCCCAGCCGCCAGGGATTTCTACAAAGTAGGAGAGAAGGCTGCCTTTTGTGACACTGCCCTGTTTAGGGGCTCTCAAACATGGTTACTTTGTCTTCCAGTTCAGTGACGGTCCTTTCAAGTCCCATTGACAGTGCCACCAACTTCCATTCCTTCCACTGCCATCTGTAAACTCCCACATCACCTGTGTATGGGGTTCTAGCCAGGAGGCCAAATGCAACGGGGGTCAGCCCTCTGCTCTCAGAACTATCCCTCTCCTCTAACTGCAGACGCTTGGTGTCCAGCTCTCTATTCCCCTAGATTCACCCCTATCTTTGGAATTACTCAAATATGCTTGATAAGCCCCTTCTTTCCAATTTTACCATATGCCAAAGATGGCAGATCTCCAGTGGAGGACATAACTGTCTCACTTTGCTTCCTCCTGTCCCCACCCTGGTGCATCTATGTCATCTCTGTCAGAGCCTCCATCTCCTCCTGGTTCAACTGCCAGGGTCACTGTCATGGATGAGCTCAGCAATGCATGAGCTTTCCCCTTGCTTAGGTCCCTGGAGCAGTTTATGGCAGCCAGGATACCTGCAGATCTTTTAGCCTCTCTTGTGAGGAGATGACCTCCATCAATTTCAGGATCTTTTCCAAGCCTGCAATAATTTTTTTAATCATGGAGATGACATTTTCTGGTTCTAAAAAGTTCTTTTCTGGGTCTTCTGTGTCCTTTACGACTGGCAGCTGTTTGGGGCTGCAGAACAATGCTATCCATATACTGTCTGGCCAGATGGAAGGGCTAATACCCCAAGTGATGGCTCCAACCACACCTTCTTCATGTTTCAGTTCAAGCAAAGCCTCTGGCTCAGATCTCCAAAAGTGCATCCTTCTAGATTCATTCCTGGCTCTCAATACAAGGTGTATTCCATGAACTCCCCTCTCACCACATGTGATGTCCTGGTGGGCTGGATCATAGGATCGTGCATTTTGTGCAATGAACAAAGGCAGGCCGGGGTGGGGCCTGGTGCCTGCCTGGCAAGCTGTGCCCCAGTGAGGGCCTGCCAGCCTGAAGAAGGTGTGTCTTCTTGCAACTCAGCTACTTGAGAGGCTGCTTTTTGTAACTTGCACAATGACACTCTCTGTGCTGCTCTGACAGGTGTTGGGAGGAGTGGTTTATTTCTGCATCCTAATTGTATCCTCTGGGAGCCAGCCTAGAGTTTCCATTGCCTTTGTTCTCCCAACAGGCTCACTAATTCCTAGGCAGAATACAGACCACGCACATGTCTCTTAAAAGAGTTTATCATTTAAGGAGCCGAGGTGGCTCCTACTTCAAGTACCCAAGGTGGTAACCAAATTCTCCAGTGGAAGAGATCTTCAAGCACCTCAGCTCAGAAAGTGGGTGCTCTTGTGCCCCCCACAGCTAGAATGGGGAGCATAGTTAGATTCCTTCAGAAACTCCATTGAAATTATCAAATGACTTTTCTTTGAGGAAGTAACTCAATGACCAGCACAGCCCATGAACATTGATATGTACCTCCACTGTATATCACGGCACTGACTTTCTAGCAGCTTGATGAGAATGTGCTCTTGGCCTTGTGTTAGTTAAATCTGCATCAGGAATCTCCTTCCAAAGACAGGAAAAGATGCAACTCTTTCTTATAAGCTCTTGCCAGCACTCACTAATGCAAAACTCTAGGCCTCTGCATGTTCTTCCCCTCCTGCGAAGTTTCTCAGAATCTTAGATAGTACGTTCAGCAAATTCAGACATAAGTCAGATGCTGAGTGTAAGTCAGAAGAGAAATATCATATAGTATCCCTTATATGCAGCATATAAAAAGAAATGATACAAATGAACTAATTTACAAAATAGAAACAGACTTACAGAATGAATTTATGATTACCAGTGGGGAAGAATAGGAATAAGAGATAATTAGGGAGTTTAGGATGGACATGTACACACTGCTATACTTAAAATGGATAACAGCAAGGATCTACTGTATAGAACAGGGAACTCTACTCAATGTTATCTGGAAGCCTAGATGGGAGGGAGTTTGGGGGAGATTGCATGCATGTCTACTTGCTCAGTCATGTCTGACTCTTTGTGACCCTTTGGACTGTAGCTCGCCAGGCTCCTTTGTCTATGGGATTCTTCAGGCAAGAATACTGGACTGGGTTGCCATGCCCTCCTCCAGGGATCTTCCTGACCCAGGAATTGAATCTGCGTCAATATGTCTCTTGCACTGCAGGTGGATTCTTTGCCCAGGGAGCCATCAGGAAAGTCCCCGGAGGAGAATGGATACGTGTATATGTACAGTCGAGTCCCTCTGCTCTGCACCTGAAACTGTCACACTGGTAACTGGCTATCCTCCAATAGAAAATAAAAAGTTTTTTCAGAAGAAATAAGTCAAATTAGTTACTGTGCATCACCTTCATTTCTGTTCTTCTGATAAGACTCTCTGTGTCCTGTGCTTGATGTGTGGAACATGTCCTATCTCTGCCTCCTCCACGAGATATCCATACATCTCTGCCCATCCCACACGCCTGACCAAGGGACTGTGGCCCTGGATGGGCCAAGCTGTTGCTGCTTTGGCTGCTTACTACCCCCAGGGGTCTTCCTCCACCAATGCCCTAGTAAGTACCCATGCGGTGCTGCAACTGTTCAGAATCCCGCTGTGAGTTGGGGGCATTGGCGCTTTTCTTCTCTTTAGAGTAGAATATCTGCATTTAAATGTTAAGTTGCGATTGTTTCAGGAAGCTTAAACTCCATCATTAGGTGAAGGTACCACTATTCTCAGTTGGGCATTTTGTACAGGTGCATAATGTATGGGCTTATGTGTATAAGCTTCAGAGAACTTAAACCAGCCCCTCCAAAAAAATAAAGCATTCTGACATTTTCTAGGTTAGAGAAAAGATGTTACATGAAACAGATGATCTAAAAGGCTTCACTACTTGTGTTACTGTAGAACAAATATAATGGATTAAAAGGTGACTCAGGTTTACAGTAATGGGTTTCCAACTTTTTAAAAAAGTATTCTTTATCCAACCTCAAGATTGTTGCAAGCTTGAGCATATTTAAAAGTTTTGCTTTCAACTGGTAAAACAGACATGTAGTAATGTGGTGGCAAACTTCTAATAACGGGATCTCTAGGAAGAGGGTGGGGTGGCGGGAAAGGGTGGATTTGTAGCATGTGTCCATCTCTATGGTGTAAACACTCCCACTATCTGGGATTTCAACTTGCCAGTGTGATGTCTCTGCACATGGATTTGAAAGAGAGTTGCAGGAAAACACCATTATACAGTATTTTAACCACACAGGTACAAGAGGTGACATTAGCCTCAAAAGCAGAGATAAGGTAGTAGGGACTTCCCTGGTGGCCCAGTGGTTAAAGAATCCACCTGCTGATGCAGGGAACACAGGTCCAACCCCTAGTCTGGGAGGATTCCTCATGCTACAGGGCACCTGCGTCCACATTCCACAACAAGAGGAGCCACCACAATGAGATGCCCATTCTCTGTAGCTAGAGAGTAGCCCCTGATCACAACTAGAGAAAGCCTGCATGCAGCAATGAAGACCCAGTGCAGCCGAAATTAAATAAGTAAATTTTAAAAATAAAATAAGTACCGCAAAAGGGCTTTAAAAAGAGAGATAATGTAGTAAACTAATAAGAAAGTGATGGGTTTTGAATATTTATTACCTATGCTTTTAATCAAAGTCATATAATTATGAGTTGATTGAACTTAATTTGAACAATGGCTGTGTTTAACAAGCAACTCACAAAATTCTTGAAAGTGAAACAACCAACTCTTGAGAACTGGCCCAATCTGACTCCGGCACACCACCACACATACCCAATCACTCAGGTCCTGTAAGATCTGACTTTGGAAACAGGAAGTGCACAGACAAGGTATTGTCCAACTTTGTACCACTAACACTGGCCAACAGAGGTACTCCATCCTTCAGGGAGTATGCCAGAGTGGCCTTTCATTAATAAAATCTCAACTAATTTGAATCTGTAAAAAACAAACCCTCAGATAACTAGGTTTTCCTTTTATTTTTTAGAAAGAGAAACAAGTTGTAAGGTTGGTTTAGCGCCTGCTCTAAAAGGTTTCTAAGACAATGTATTATATCCATTTTTTAAAAAAAAAACACTTATTCCAGAGAAGGCTTAGATGTCAACACCATAAATTTCCTGTGCACTGAGAAAAAAATTAACAAAAGTACAAAGAAAGATAAAATAGCACACCTCAGTCAGGGAAGTTGCCCAGATAGCATGTTGCGGATTAGCAGCTCCATCCTGTCCTGGCTGAACTAAGAATGGTCCCCGCATTCCAGGTGGCCCATCTCCAGCTTGCCAGCAGATGAGATGGGCCTGCACGAAAGGTTCTTCCTAAACAGATGTGCCAGTGCTCGGCTGAAGCAATCACATACCTTCCCTCAGGGATTTGAACTGCAGGAAAGAAAGAATTTGTCCAGTTAGTGAGGTGAGGCCAGAAAGAGATCAAGAGGCAGTACCTGGGCCAGGTTAGTCACAAGCAGAAATCACGAGTAAGCAGAGGACAAGAGTAATGTGCCAAGTCAAGGAAGAGATAGTCTATAAGAGGGGAAAATGAGCAGCTTGTCCCCATTTGACCTAAATCCTTGTCAGCTGGCCAGTTCCAGGCCATGTGCAATCCCCTTAATAAACCAGAGTATGAACTAAGATGCATTGTGCTCATTGTATCATAGGCAGAATTGTAATTGTACATAAAAAGGCACTGAAATGAGTCCCTGTATTAAGTTTTTGCTGGTATTTATTGTGTAGATCCTTAGAAATGCTGTGTAGAAGAATGGACAAATGTTTTCAATGGGAACTTTATAAATGAGGTAGAACATGCTTCATGTGGCCATTTCTTAGATTAATTCTTAAGTGTAATAGCCTTGTATTAATAAATAATTCAGAGAAGATATTTTTACTGAGAACTAAGTGTTCATGGCTCAGGTATGCAGCTTTTGGAGAATTTAACCTCAAATAAAAGTTAGAGAATCTCTGAGTCTCCTTCAAATATGTTATCAAAGGCAGCTATGTGACAAAATTGTAAGTCAGATTTTCTATTTCTTACATTTTCTATAGCCTCAGCTAGGCTTCTAGAAAATTATTGTTGTTTTTCCGGTGATGACACCTAAGTAAGGTACTACCTTAAAAGAAAATGTAAAAAGGGTAATACTTCCATAGATTCTTGTAACATGCAAGGTAATTTTACTTACTGTCTTCCATTGGATTTTCTTAACTTTAGGAGATAGGCAGGCATGGTAATCCCCATGTTTTTCAAATGAGAACACTGAGGCTCAGAGAGAAGGTACCTTTCTTTTCATTACAGAGTTTTGGAGTTGGGACTTCAACTCTAGTCACGGTAAGAATGATAGTTAAGATTTACTGAGCCATAATCATGTGTCAGGTACTGTTGTAACCATATATCATTCCCATTTTATGGATGAGAAAACTGAGAACTCTCTTAGCCCAAGTTGCTATCAAATGAAGAGGCAAAGCTTTAAAAATGCTGATCTTAAATTTTATACGTGTTTTGCAAGCTTGGAGTGAGTTAGCAGTTGAGAGTGGAGGCAGGGTTAGAGAGTAAAGAAAGCTAGTTATCACTACAAATGACCCAATTTTGTTCCTTTTTATGGCTGAGTAATAAATATTCCATTGTATATATGTACCATATCTTCTTTTTCCATTCATCTGTTGATGGATATCTAGGTTGCTTCCATGTTTTGGCTATTGTAAATAGTACTGTGAACTATTGGGGCACATGTGTCTTTTTGAATTACGACTTTCTCAGGATATATGCCCAATAGTGGGATTTCTGGGTCATATGGTAGTTCTATTTTTAGTTTTTTAAGGAACCTCTGTACTGTTCTCCATAGTGGTTGTATCAATTAACATTCCCACCAACAGTAAGAGGGTTCCCTTTTCTCCACACCCTCTCAGACATTTATTGTTTGTAGATTTTTGAGAAAAGAGCATCAGAGGCCACAGAGTCCCAAAAGAAAACAGAAACAGAAGACCCAAAAGAAAAGGAAAATCTATTTGCGTAGTAGTTAAGAGTGTGAACTTTAAGGCCATATACGAATATTTGTCACCACTTCCTGGTTGTGTGACCTTGTTTAACTTATCCATTCTAACCTGTTTCCAAATTTATCAAATGCATGCTATAAGAGCATTTGTTTAAAAATATTTTTGTAAGTATGATATTCATTAATATACTTATGTTTCCTATAACAACACCTGCTAAGGGATAATTTCTCAATAAATATTGAAAGAAAGAAAGCTAGTTGTTCAGGGCCTGCAGGCAGAACATGAAAGTGAGTTAGTTCAGGTAGGGAGAGTTACATTACGTAGCAGAGTCACACCCCTTAGAAATGACTTGAGAATGGGAAACTGCCATTTCTCCAGGCTGAGAAAATACTTCAGAAAAAGGAGAGTTGCTAATGAGGTACTGAGTGGAACCCAGGGAAGAGGGATTCAGTAACCTAGATTTTAGAAAGTTTATGTGTATGGTGTCTTTATCACCACATGGAAAGAATATCTTCTGGTTTTCCAAAATGCATAGGCCCTCCTCTAGGGCTGTTGAAAAGACTGAGTGAACCAGATTTTCAGCCAAATAGAGGACAAGTAGGAACAGCCAATTACTGAATTAGATGGAGATATTGGGGTGTCAATGAATATCTTGTCTTTGTTATGAATTATCCATCGGATCACAGTTTGTACCTTCAAGACTAGTTTACACTTCAAGAATTTAATCTCAGGCCCTAAACAACTATGTGTTGCTGAAAATTCCCTTGTACAGTGGCAGCAGGGAAGGCTGCCAGTTACTAGCAGGGTCTTCTGTTTTGGGGTACCTGAACTGGCTTCATGTGTTTGTGCATGTTAAGTCATTTTGGTCGAGTCTGACTCTTTGTGACCCTATGGACTGTAGCCTGCCAACCACAACAAAATGACTTTCTAAAGTATTTGGGTCAACCAAGCATTTGCTGCAATAAAAGACATCCTGGGGCTTCACAAATGTTAAGTTTGGAATCACCTCTATAACATTTCCAAAAACCTGCTCATATCCTTTCACTCCCGTGGCTATGATCTTTTAGACTGCTGGAACAGCATAATCTTGTATCTGAATTATAGCAATGATGGTGACATGTGGAGTTCCTCAAGCTCCCAGCCACGCCCTCTTCTCATCATCTCTGGTGGATTCCCCCCGTCTCCGGACTTCAGTTACAGGAAGGAACAACATCTCCATCTGCAGCCCAGGTCTCTCGTGGAATCTGATTTTACATCTGCCAACTGACCAGGATCACTTGCATATTCCACTCACATCTCAAACTCAAAATGCCAAAAATGGGACTATTATCTTCCTATTCCCTTCAAATGTGAGCGATCTGGGCCACTGCCCTTCTTGTTCATTAAGTCAGAAAATCTTGGGTGTTGTCTTCCCATCTTACTCTTCCCTCACTGGTGTAATGACTTAGTGTAACAGGACTTCTTATATCCATGCCCACCTCGACAGACTAATGACTCCACAAATGGCAACAAGAAGAAGCTTTCTAAAATGCAGATCTGATCATGTTCTTCCTCCTGTGTAAAAAGTCCTTCATATGATTCCTATGCTCTCAGGACAAAATGACAACTCCTTAGAGCTGTCAGGTCAGTTCTTCTCCCTTGGTTATTGTCTCATGGTAGCAAAGAACTGAAATGAAAGACCAGTTACAGATCAAGCAGCCAAGATTTATTGGGCATGCAGCAAGCAATACACTCTCGAGGCATGAGAGCAGATCACCCCCTGCAGGAGTGGCCTTATTCTATTTTGGCTTCCCTTTTTTGTATCCCTTATTCCCTCTCTTGAGCAGGTTCCTGGGGTCTGATTGGTTACACCCTCTGCAAAAAGAAGATTGCACCAATGTATGCTTGATTGGTTACACCCAAGACCAACTAGGGAAGGAGGTGTGCTTACCTGCCAGAGGTTCCCACTTAGGTCCATGATTTCCTCTTCTTGCAGGTTTTTTTTTTTTTTTTTCTAGCAGCTTCCTCTGATGGCCTTCTTGGACCCTGCTTCCCTATTCTAACTAGCTAACAGAGTGATAAGAGATCCTTGCACATTTAGTGCCTTCTACTGCTTCAAGAATCTGCCTGCCACTGCAGAAGATCTCTGGATCAGCAAGATCCCCTGGAGAAGGAAATGACAACCCACTCCAGTATTCTTGTTTGGGAAAGCCCATGGACAGAGGAGCCTGACAGGCTACAGTCCATGGAGTTGCAAAAGAGTCAGACACAACTTAGTGACTAAACGACTGTTCTGCTCCCAACCTAACTTCCTGTCAGCTACATACCTTCAACCCTCCTGCTCCTTTTTGCTCCTGAGTCTTTACTCCTGCTGTTTCCTTTGTGAACACCTATCGGTATCATCTGCCACTTCTTTGACTCATATTATCTTTCAAGTCTCAGCTTAGAATTTGCCTCATCTAGGAAGCCTTCCTTGACTCTATTGACTGGGTTTAGGCAATCCTTTTATGAGCAGACACTTACATTAGTACTTACTATGGTCCGCTGAGATTGCATGTTTTTAAACTTCCTTCATTGGGCTGTAAGTACCTTAAGACAGGTACTTGTTTATTCCCAATTGGAAAGCAGTGCTTAGCATAGTGTCTGACACAAGGCTGATATTCCCCTTGTTTATACTATGCACACTGTATCCAAAATATCTATCGATTGAATAATAACAATATCAATATGAATTCAGTGAGTAAATTAAGCCTTATTTTAGGTTTCCCAAATGCATTCTACTAATATGAAGGCAGTTGAGAATTGTTGCATATCTTCTTGTAATCTTTTGTCCCAGAGGCATTTTAATGGAAATTTGAGTCATTCTTTTCAAATTCACTTCCATTTACTCTATAAAAATGACTTCAGCACCTGTCTTGTTCTTTATTTCCATACCATTTTTAGAGGCTTTAACATTTCTGCTAATAACTTGGTTCCCGCTCAGCCTTAACCATACCAGCTGCCCATATCAGAGACAACAAACTGTTATGCAAAAACTATTAACATATTTGAGAACTGATTCTGACCTTTCCCTTGGAAACGCCACTTCCATTTCTTCCATTCTCTCACCACCAGAACCAGACTGTCAAATGCTTTCTGGCTCCTTGAAGTTTTCTGGGTTAGGGGATCCAGGTTGTCTGTCGAATCATGTTGCCTCTCTGGGATAGACCTTGCAGTCAGCCATTCCAAAGATACGTTTGCTATCAAACCCAGATCCCCCATTCTTCTTATATTGTATCATTGACTGGTTATGAATGACTTCCAAGGGGGCTTTCTCTCCTCATATCCTTAGATTGCTACAAGTTGCTGCAGAAAATAATGAAAATATGTTGGTTAGGTCAGTGAAGGTTTTGTGTAATTTCATCAGCTAGACCTTAACAGAACCAAGCACAAGAAAAAAAGAATCTATTTAATTCATCTTGTTCAGTTCAGTTCAGTTGAGCCACTCAGTCATGTCCGACTCTTTGCGACCCCATGAATCGCAGCACGCCAGGCCTCCCTGTCCATCACCAACTCCCAGAGCTTACTCAAATTCATGCCCATCGAGTCAGTTACACCCTATCAAACCCATTACAGCAGCTCCAAACCTTCTCCCCTCTTTAAGTCCCCAGGAGAAGACTTTCCTTGTTTTGTTAGAGAACTTTGTCCACAAAGCCATTGGAATCATGGGGCCAGATTTCTGCTTATCATCCTTCCTGTTCTAAAATCCTACCATTGGAAGAAACAAAGCCGTTGGGAAGAGAGGTTCCAGGGAAGAAATGGAAGCTGCAACTGATGGAGAGTAAGAGGACTCCTTTTCTGAAAATGAGAGAAAAGGACAGAGATAAAGAGGGAAAACATGGCAAAATATGGAGAGAATTTGACATAGAAAAAAGTTGAGTTTAGACAGTAGACCTTCAATGTCCTCACTTCCTGCAAGGAGATTTGATAGACAGATTCTTGGAGTGGTCACTGGAAGACTTGCTACTTCATTTCATTTCGCCTCAATATCTCCTTCATCCAAAAGAAAGAGCTGAATTACTTGGCCTCTCTGAAGTCCTCTAGCACTAATGTCCTAGGATTCAAGCAGACTTTCTGAGCATCAAAAAGGTCCTCTATAGTGATGTCAGTTTTGTTCGTTTTCCCAACAAAAGATGTTGGGAATATATAAGGAGTTTTTGTGGTTACACAATGACAGAGATGCCTCCTTGGCAGTTAATGACAGGGAAGTGACAGAAGGATCTACTTCCACAAGAAAGCATTGTCTCCTCCCCTCAGAAATGCTGATAGAACCTCTTCACACCAAGATGGGGACCATTCATTCATTCCACCTTCTGAGATCTCTTTGCAATGACTTTGGGACCAGCAGAGTTTGTAATAGATGCTCAATAAAGGCTTCTGAAAAAAATTCTGTGTCCTGGCCAAGTTATACATAATGTGAATTTTTATAACTCTGATGATTTCCCATTGACATACATTTTCATTTCAGAGACGCTTTATCTTTGCTTCTGATTGACTTTTAATTGGCAGTGAGTCCTAATGTGGAGAAAGCTTAGTTATTAAAATGGAACCCTGCAGGGAATCCATTTGTAAAGTGATAAATCCTTTTATAGTGTGAATAATCCCCCATTAATTGATCTGGTTTGTAAATTTGAATTTTCAGATGCTATGTTTTTTCCCCCCTTAAATGTGGGTACAGTGATGGTGTCCTCATTATAATCTTAGAGTTCAAGAAGGGTCTAATATGTATGACAGCTTTTCTATTTTACAATTGAATCCTTTTTTGTGACTTCCAGTCTTTCTCTTCAATTAATTCCTTTTATAGGACATCTTGAACAATTCTGATTAAGTAATGATTTGTTGCTTGTGAAACTATTGGTCTGTTCACTTTTTTAAAAATACAATAGGGAAACTATTTGTCTCCAGGGATCTCTAGGCAACTTGCAGATTTAAAAGTCCTATTCATTCCTAAAGGGTTTCCTTTAATATAGAAAGGCTCTTTTCCACCTTTTATCATTTATGAAATCGAGTCACAGAAAGGCCAGCAGAACATGACTACATAAGTGTCTGTGGCTGAGATGACGAGAGAATTCAGATCACCTCACCTCTCATTAAAGAGCATGTCGTGATTACAGAATATTTTCTGAGTTCTGTAGAACTGTATTGAGAATGACTTCCTGGAACTGAACAGGATACTGTTCTGAAAAATGGTCACTTCAGTGAGTCACCTCAGAGAGTGGTCCAGGTGTATGTCTGTACGGCTGATTCTAACAAATGCCATCCCAACACTGTTTTCTAGAAATGAACTCCGTTATATTGGGTTTTCCATCGGTAAACCCAAGCTTGGTAATATTCCATCCTGCTGCTTTGGGTATTATAACAGTTCATGCAGAAAGTACTGGATTAGCCTCATCAGAGATGATGATGGGGGATATAAATGTGCACAGAATATTATTACCAATAATTATATAGGGAATATTTAGGCCAATGTTCAATCCATGATGCTCACAGCCTAGGTTATAACAAAATGAATCTCAAATGGTCTGAAGATACCTGTTTCTGAAGTAATAGTACCATAGGGGTCTTGGGTAACATTAATTAATATTTAGCATAACTCCAGGAGGGTTTTTTTTTTTAAGGTTGCTATGGTACACTTCTTACACCACTACCCGATTTCCATTTCAGCTTTTTTCTTGTCCCTTTCAGATTGACATGGGCATCATTCTCTATAATATATTTTCCTTCTATTATTCTGTCCTTGGACTTATTAATCCATCATTTTATTTGGCCCTGCTTTTCAAATGTTAGATATGAGCTGTGATATTTGTCTTGGCTAGCAAAATAAACGGGATGTGAAGATTCACTCAGAATGCATCTTTCTTATGTTCTTTTATGTCTCCAAGAGAAACCTTGGAGACGTGCCTCCTTCTGACTTCATTCCCCTCTGACTAACCCCCTCCTGACAGATAACATATCATGATCCTGAAAACTGGTTAATTATGTCCCCATCCAGTTGGGAGGGGCAAGCAAGGAGGGAGCACAGAGGTTTATCATAAAAACATAAGTAAGTGACGCTGCATCAGCACGGAAGCCTCTCCAGCCAAAGAGAGTGGATTACATGCTAGAAAGAGACAATAACATTAAAAGCAGTATTTCTGTCATGAGGCCTTCTCAGAGCTGTGAAACTAACCTGCTAGTTTTTTTTTTTGTCCTACAGCCCATAAAAGAGCTCACAGCCAGAAAATACAAATCCCATAGGCTGCTATTATGCTGATAACAGTGAAGAAAGGGGGAAAATTGTTTCATTGCTGAATTGCAGATATAATTATGACATTTTATATATTTTGCAGCCTGTACCAAAGAGTTGTATTAATATCTGCTCTGCCCTACGGTGGGAGAGAAGTTAGCACCTGAACGCCGAGCACTCAGGCTCTGATTTTTTGCTAAGACTGAATCCCCCTGGCTATTTACCAACGTGAATTTTGTGGTCAAAGGAAAATTCAGAAGCAGGTGATAATGGCTGCATCTCTTGCAGGACCAGCTGATTCATACAAACCACGTGGACCAGCACGGGGAGTGAAGCTAACTGCACTTGGACAATGTGTCTTTCACTGCCAAGACCGAACTGCTTACTTCAGCCAACCAGGGATACAATGGCGCGTTGAGAAAAATTTAAATACGTGGCCAGGGGTCACACGAGGTGTGTTTGTGAGCCGATCTGTGGGGCTTGCAAATCAATGCAATTATGACATAGGGGCTAAAACTCCTGTTAGAGTGGTCACCTAACAGTCCAGTGTGGTGTTGTGTTGGAAAAAAGATGTAAAAAGGAAAGCAAACACAAAACCTATCTATCATTGCTTTCAAAGGTAGCTCAGGCCACACGGCTGGGGTTGGTGATCCGGTCCTAGCTTATATTAAGAATTAAGTATTCCTGGTGAACAGCGAGCCAATAAATAAACAAACAACATTTTGGGAGATGCAGAATAGACAGGGAAATAAAATGTATAGTAATGAAATATTCATAACCTTGCATTTTATGGACCTCAAACACTAGTTCCATGATTTACACTATTTCTGTATGCAGTAGTATGGGATCTGCCAAACAATAATAAAGATGGCATTAGAATGCTACTGCCTCAGTGTCATGGAGAAGGGAGGATTAATCAGTATTGTACGAGAGCTGTAAACTCGAGTAAATAGAAGCACACACAGGTAGTTGCTTCCCTGCACACTTTATGCCTGGCCCATGGAAATGAAGGAGATGAGAAATACAGTCATTATGAAAATGATGAGTGTCAGCACCCAGCTTCATGGAAATACCTGTATTACTTTCTGAACCTGTGGCTGCTCCAGGGTGCCAGTACAGGCCAGCTGCTTCTGAGCAAACGTCATGGTTATGATTGCACATTAAGTGTCACCTGATTCATGTCAATGTATGACAAAATCCACTACAATATTGTAAAGTAATTAGCCTCCAACTAATATAAATAAATAAATAAATAAAGTCTTTTGCTTTGACAGCAAAAAAAATAAATAAATTTTAAAAAATTTAAAAAAAATTAAAAAAAATAAATAAATAAAAGTCACCTTTCCAAAAGATCATGGCCCGCCTGACTCCTAAACTCAGAACGCCACGTTCTGAACTCGGTCGTCTCCTTTGGGAGGAGACAGGAGGGTCTGTCTGGCTTCTGCCCTTTGCCTACTGTCCTCCAGCCCTGGGCAGGAAGGACATGGAACTGCAGATTAAAACCTGGAGGGGAACAGATAAACAGACAGACCATCTTGCTTCAAAGACTATTTTGAACACTCCTGCTACATACCTGTCTGCCTCTGACAGCTGACCTCAACCCCCCGGTATTTATCTTGCCCCAGATTTCACAGGCACAGTTGTGCAGTCCACATGGTCAGAGCTTCTGCTCCTGAGTCCTCCTCAGCGGAACCACGTGGCTCCCATTTTTCCTAAGGGATTAAATGACACACTCACTGGATGCTGAGCGTGCCCTTTGCTGAGATGAAGTTATAGAAACAAAACGTGGCAGTACTCCCTGAAAACCTGAGGGTTATCTTGGCATTTTTCTCATGTCTCTCAGACTTTGAAGAACCCTGTCAGTCACTGGGACCCTGTTCTCTAGCCTCCTCCTTTTTTAAATGAAAAAAATTAATTAGCCATCAACATCACTGACTCAATGGACATGAACTGGAGGAAACTCCAGGAGATACTGGAGGACAGGGAAGCCTGGAAGGCTGCAGTCCATGGGGTTGCAAAGAGTTGGACACAACTTGGTGATTGAAAACAACATGC